GTATATGATTGAGCAGTTCTTCAAAAATAAATTATAGAAATTACACAGTTCTATTAATCAATATAGAAGGCCTCATATTCAAAAATACCACAAAAATAATGATGTGTGATATTAAAATTATAATTAACAAATAAATATAACTTGATTTATCAATGAATAGACCATTGAAAAAAATGCCTTTCAATGCATAAGTACTTGAAAAATCTCGGAACAAAGTAGAATATTGAAAAAATTATAGTTTTTTTTCAAAAAAGCAATTTCTTATATATAAATTATTTTTCTATTTTATAAATAATTATTGCTTATATAACCATAAATTTGATATTAAATTAAACGTTATTGACTACTTTAATTACCATATGTATTGATTATTGACTATAACTAAATTAAATCTTAAAGAATAATCAAAAAACAATTTTTAAAGATCATGAATTGAATAGAATGATTAATTCGAAGATTTATTTCCTATTTTCATAATTAAATCACTTCACATCATTTAACTTAAATTATACTATATTGAAATCTAAAAAAATCTAAAAGACTTCTTTATTTAAAAAAAAAAAACCAAAAGTGAACCATATTATACAATCACATATATTTCCAGATTTAAATTATCTAAAATTTTCAATTGAGCATGTTAAATAAAATATATTTAAATTAGTGCAAGTTAAAAAAGTTTTATTACGTAATTTACATTATTTATCAACACGTGATTCATACATACCATCATTACAAATACATAATTATTCTTAAAATATCGAAATTAAACAAAAGAAGCACATTTATTTATAGATTTAGAGCAGGCTTTACAGTTTGGATGGCATTATTAACAGATTCCATTAATTTCAAGATAACCTATCAAATAATTGCATATTTATGGTATATTAAGTTCTCTAAACTAATTCTAATCTAATCACATATTGTGCAATTATTTGATGTAATTCACGATATTGAATGTTGAACAAATCTATAAACCGATATCAAATAACCTTATTGAAATTTACAATTTGTTTCTATATTTCTTGTTAAGGGATATATTAAGCCTTACATAAGCTATCACATTTTTAACACTGTATTTAATGACCATCATCAAAATATCCAAATAAACACTTACATGTCTTTATTGTAAAATACTCTATTTGAAGTATTAATTTCTAAACAGGGCGCACAAGAATTAGCATCTTTAGAACTACAATTTAAACATGAGT